ATAAAATCCATAAAGGACAAGTGCTGGCAAGGGTGTGGAGAACAGGAAACACTCATGTACAGTTGGTGGGAATGCAGGTTGGTGCAGCCACTGTGGAAAGTGGTATGGAGTGACCTTGGAAAATTAAAAATAGAACTACCTCATGACCTAGTGATTCCATGTCTGGGAATATATTCAAAGAAACCTAAAACACTGATTCAAAAGATACATGCACCTCTATGTTCACTGCTGTGTTATTTATAATACCCAAGATTTGCAAGTAGCCCAAGTGCCCACCAGTACACAAGTGGATAAGAAAGCTGGGGTAAATTTATATAATGGAATATTACTCAGCCATACCACAGAAGGAAATTTTACCTTTTGTGACATCATGGATGGACCTAGGGGGTATTACGCTAAGTGAAATTAGCCAGTCCCAGAAAGACACATACTATCTGATTTCACTCATATGTGGAATCTAATAAATAAAATAAACAAAATAGAAACAGACTCACTGATACAGAGAACAGACTGACAGCTGTCAGAGGGGAGGGGGCACTATCTAAAACAGGTGAAGGGATTAAGCAAAAAAACCAAACAAACAAACAAACTCTAAAACCAAAACAGAAACACAACCTTACAGACACAGACAAAATATGGTGATTACCAGAGGGAAAGGGGGCTTTGGGGAGGTAGAAGAGGGTAAAGGGGGGTTAAATAGTGATGGAAGGAGACTAGACTTTTGGTGGTGAACACACAGTACAATATACAGATGATAATTGTAGAATTGTACACCTGAAGTCTATATAATTTTATTAACCAATGTAGCCCTAATAAACTAAAAATGGTTACTTTCCCCCTCCCTGTACCAGAGGCACCCAATGATATATATTTTGGCTCTTCATTGTCAGTGCCTGGTGAGATTTCTGGAGATAGTGCCCAGGAAAGTTTGGGGGTCTCCCTAAGATACTTCTTAAGAGAGTTTCTTCTCTAAGAAACTCCCTAAGAAAGTTTGGGAGCCCCCCGAGTCTCTGACTTCTCACACTAGTCCTCACTCAGTCTCTGGTCACTCAGTGAAAAGGCCATTTAAGTATTTTCATGCATTTATGCTCCTGTCCAGGCCTTCTGCTCCTGGTAAGTTGACCTCAGCTGTGGTCTCTGTGGTCACCTCTCTGCAGTTGGGGTGGCTCTTTGCCTTGCAACCTCGGTCTCTAATGACTCCAAGAAAAGTCATTAATTTTCAGTGTGTTCAGCTAATTTTTTCTGTTGTAGGCATATCAGTGGTGACTTCCAAGCTCTTTAGATGCTGGGACTGGGACTAGAAGTCTTCTGTGCACTTTCCTTTAAAAGTTGATAATCTGATAGGTGCATTGATTCTCAAAGAAAAAGATGGATATTGGTCCTTCCACTTCACTGAGTTTCTATATATTACTTTATTATAATTTTATATTGACGTAGAAACATAAATTTAAATCCAAATTCCATAAGCCTATAGTTTTTAACCAACTATTGAGGTGTAATGCATATGTAAAGTATATTTTTAAATCCTGTAAAAATAATAAAACCTGAATCAACAACATCAGTTTAAGATTTTGTGGGTAAACCGAAACATTTTTGATAGACTTAGTAGAAGGAAGACACGGCTAAGTTCTGATACTGTACTTAGTGTGTTTCTGTATTTTAACTTAAGTAATACTTGTGTAGGAAACTTCTATTCCCTTATGGTTATATAGAATGTTACTGATAACATCAAGATGTTTTCTTTTTCTGTTTATAATCATCAAACAAAAACTTTCCTAAGGTGTAATTTTTTAATATCAATTTTGATCAAGTATGATTTGATAGTTATATAAATGCATTATATTCACATAGAGATGTATCTATTGCAACATTATTAAAATATATTTAAGTCACTTTCTAATTATTGCTTTGAGTTCAGGATATAAAGAGTATCATCTTGGCCAGTTTTTCACATAAAAGTGTGGTATCACATACCTTATAACTAATGGCCTGTTGCAATTGCAGATACAAAAGGATCTCTTAACAAGTGTCAGATATGTCTTCCTTTGGGGTCAGCATGTCTGCTTTCACCACAGTGAGCCCGAAGACACTCAAGTCACTTCTTCTGACCCATTTCTCTCTGACTGTAGAACTTAATTGGAACACTGGGAACGACATTATGCAGCCTCCACTCTAAACGCACAAGTCCATGGGCAGCAGAAACGAAGTGGTGGGAACCCCATGGCTGTGACTGATAGAAAAGCCACCATCCAGGTGACCTGGAATGTGCCGGTGTTTGCAGAATGTTTTCAATAGAGCATTTCCGATAGAGACCCCTGGTAATATGACACATACTGACCTTAGATTGAGAAGAATGCATATTTTGGCAGGATGTGAAATCTGACATTATGGGGTTTGAAATCTACTTATACGGGGTATAAGTCATCAGTCTCTGATGACTTATAACTCTATTCTTGGCCAGTTTGCCTAATAACTCTAAGCCTCAATTTCTTAATCAGGAAAATGACCTGGCAGAGTTATTGTGAAATTAAATGAAATAGTGAATATAAATTCCCAACTCCTTGGACATCCCTTCTGTTCTTTCAATTAATCATTCGCCTGACTTGAGTATATTTTCTACCTGGTTCCCTGGTAAGGTATTTACATATAGTAAGACCTAATAGGCAATATTATATAATACATTATATATTATTTATACATACACAAAGACAGAGGGCTTTCTTAATGCATAAGTGGATTTTTGAAGAATGTGGAAGTAATCAAAGAGAGAAGTGGTTAGCATTGTGAAAGTAAAGATGTATACAGAATGATGTTACAGAGACATACTAGAAATATAGCCTACTCTGACAAAAATAAACCTCAATAGGCTGGAATTTTAGAATGTGGTTGTCTTGGCTTATTATTCCCAGTCTTGCTTTTCTCATCACATAGTGTTGACAGGGGTATTCGACTTTCGAGTTTTTAAAAAAATTCTGCATTTTTTCAATACCCACAAAAGACCCTATTTTATAAGACATATATGTAAAATTAGATGTACCAATGTACAAACAGTTATAAAGAGAATAGAGCAGGTTCTGGTGTTAGTCTAAGTTCCTCGTCACTGAGAACGTGCTTATACACTTAGTGTGGCAAAGGGGCAGCCCAGTAGCCTTCCAGCACCTGCCTGGCTCCGACCCCACCCCAGTGAGCCCGCTTCTGGCCTAAAACGACCTGGCTAGAACTCTCACCGCTTGCTTCTGTGTCCCTGTTACTATCACTAATGAAACCGATAGAGTTTCATTAGGCAATGTTACCCCAATACATTTAATTCTTTTACAAAGGAAGAAGACGGAAGTGTATGGGACTTGAAGTCGTGTTTGGATTTGAATCCTGGCCCAACAATCTGCCAGGGCAAATCACTTAATCTCTGACTCTCAGTTTCCTCATTAGTGAAGGAAGGGCACTAATAGTTCCTGTCTCAAAATTATCATAAGAATAAATGAGAGACTACAGGTAAACTTACCTTGTGTGTCATGGGAATTCAGCAAGTATTTTTAAAAATATTTTATTTATTTATTTTTAGAGAGAGGGCAAGGGGAGGAGAAAGAGTAGGAGAGAAACATCAATCTGTGGTTGCCTCTCATGTGTCCCCTACTGGGGACTTGGCCTGCAACCCAGGCATGTGCCCTGACTGGGAATCAAACCAGGGACCCTTTGCTTCACAGGCCTGTGCTCAATCCACTGAGCTACACCAGCGAGGGCTTTTTTTTTTTTTTAAAGAATCTACCATTAAAATGTCATGTGGATTTGGAAAAAAATGGAAACAGAGGCGCGGATACGTGGAACAGACTGACAGCTGTCGGGGGGGGGCGGGGGGAGCTTAGGGACTGGATGAAAAAAAGTGAAGGGATCAGGCAAAAACCATACATGCAGAACCCATAGACACTGACCACAGTGTGGTGGTGGCCAGAGGGGAAGGGAGGGTGGGGACCAGGTGGAGCTGGGCAAAACGGGGTGGGGGTGGTGTGTGAAATGATGACAGAAAGAGACTTTGCCTGGAGCGATGGGTGCAGGATAAGTGTGCAGATGATGTTTTATTGAGTTGCACACTTAAAACCTGAGTGGTGTTGCAAACCAATATCAATTAAAAAAGAGCAATTGAAATATCTATCCTCCGTCCCCCACAAAGAAAAGAGTGGCTGCATGATACCGTTCCTTTCTCCCTCCAGCACAGCACACTGTGCTGCCTTCTTTCTCCCTGGCATGCTGTCTTCTGAGAGTGTTCTTTGGAGCTCAAGGGTGTGGCAAGGTTCTTTTGGCCATTTATGGAAGAAAATATGATCTCTCTCTGTTCAGAGCACCCATGGAATATAAACTAACCCCTTTCCTCCAGAAAAATTAGATCTAAAAATTAGCTTATCAATGCAATGTATACCTTTTATGCTTGTTGTACTGGAACTTACTGAACGTGACCAAACAAAGGAGATGAACAGGTTAAACCCTAACAGGATGGTGGAAGGTGAAAGACATCTCTTTCCTCTGACTCCCTGCCTGAGACGCCTCTCCCCCACTCTTCTTCTGAGGAAATAAACAATGGGTTGGGGGCTCACAAAACAGCTGTAGATAATATAAGCATTAGTGTAGAGAGAGCTGAAGTGAGTATTATGAGATTATTACTTTTTCCTAGTGAGTATCTGTGTCCTTTTCTTGTATGTTTTGCATTTGAAACGAGATAAGTGATAAAGAGAAAAATTACTTACACGTGAAATTATCCCTCAAACTTACATAGAATGAAAGAGGATATAATGAGAATCAATATAAGATAATGAGTTTAGTGGAAGATAATGGTATGAGTTGATGGAAGGTATAGATATCATAAGAAGGGAGAATTAATCTGCCTATTATAGTAACCCTTGTTTCTTTTTCTACTTCTCTTTTTCTTTTGTAATGTCCGAGATAGGAAGAGGAATGAGTTATATGACAAATTTAGATTTTGCAAACTTGTGCTTTGGTGAAAGTACTATTGAAATACAATGTTAAGGAAGATTTTCAGCACTCAGTGTGTCATTTCCTTTTTTCATGAATCAAATACTGAAATACTATGTGATAAAGATTTTACATTTCAATTGTGAAGAGTGGGAAGTGGATAAACCAGTTCAGCTGTCTTTAGGACAAACGGTAAAGTAATTTATTTTAATGTTTTTCCAAAATTGCTTCTGTTAAGTATATGTACCTAATCTGTGTGTGTGTGTGTGTGTGTGAGAGAGAGAGAGAAACATATATATAGGTGTATATACACAACATCAATAGTTTATGGTAGAATTTTTATCCTATCACTAATAATTTGGTTTCATGGTTTCATTGGTAAAAAGACAGAAAGTTTTCTTAGGTTTTCCATGAATAAAAATGTATGTGTATACATAAATATATATGAAATATATACCTACTAACTACTACTAACTATATAACTATAGTTAGTAGTATACTAACTACTAACTATATACCTACTAACTATATACCTACTAGGTTATATATGAAATATATAACCTACTAAATACTTTGTAGGTTAAACTGGTAAGAAACTTTTAGTATATAACTGTGTATACTTTGTTGAAAATTATTGGCTTTATTCAAAATATAGTTAAGCATTTAATTAGTCACATTTCCTTAATCTTCATGTTACATTTTTGGCTTTAACTTAATACATTTTATTACCTTTACATGCTCATATAGAAACTATTATTTGTGTATCAATCTATGCATTCACTGGACTACTTGTAGGGAAATAGGCAGTCAAGATACTGTCTTCAGGAAGTTCATGATTTAAGACAGATATATAACTTGAGCACCTTAATAGGATATAATATTAACATATACTCTGAGTACCTTAACTAGTACAAAAGTGTGCAGATAACTACTATGGGAATGTAAGACAGGCCAAAAGAGGGAGAGGACCATTAAAAAACATTCATGGGTTTGTTAGAATTTAGCTTCATCTCGAAGAATGGGTAAGATTTACACAGTATAAATGGGGATTAGAGTTGTCACTGGCCACGTGAGAATAGTGTTAGAAAAGTTGCAGACCTGAGATTCTGAATGTTTTATGCAGTAGTTAGTAGCTGATATTCTGTAAGTATATTCTGCCTACATACAAATCCAAGCCTCTCCGCTCCCTAGTTGTATAACTTTAACTAGTTATTTAAACCTTTTAGTTCTCCATTTCCTTGCCTTATAAAATAGCAGCAATACTGCTGTATACTTCAGGGAGTTACTGTGAGGATACAATTGGAAAAATTTAGATAAAAAAAATTGATGTGTTATCCCTGGCTGGTGTGGCTCAGTGGACTGAATGCCAACCTTTGAACCAAAGTCACTGGTTTGATCCCCAGTCAAGGCACATGACTGGGTTGTGGGCCAGGTCCCCAGTAGGGGGAATCTGAGAGGCAACTGCACATTAATATTTCTCTCCCTCTTTCTCCTTCCTTTCCCCTCTCTCTAAAAATAAATAAAATCTTTAAAAAAGAAATTGGTATGTTAAAATAAAGATGATTCACTTATTGATGGATATCTATGTACCAATTTATGAAAATTATTTTAAATCCTCATAATAATTGAAATTGTAATCATGTTTTACACATACATAGAAACTGCAGTCAAATAGGTTAAAATGTTTGTCAAAGGTCAAATAGTTCGGAAATGGCACAACCAATATTGAAACCTAGACTTCAGATTCAAATTGGTGCTCTTTCTTTTTCACTACAGGAGGAACATGGGTCATGCGAGGCACAGTGTAGCTGTTTCCACTTCATACCTTAATCCCTTTTATGGACACATTTCTTAAGTGGAGAGCTATTTTTCCAAAAATATATAATTATTTTTATTTTGTAACATTTTAAACTATTCATTCAAAATTAATTTTTTTATTACAAAGTTATTATTTCCCCCAGATGTTAAAGATAAAGTTAACCTTAAGAGTTTGTTGACAAATCTGAATGGGGAATAGTCTTAGAAGAAAGACTGTGCCTAAATTATATATAGTATATAAAAAGGGTTTATTTATGTAAAGATCCCCTGGGTATGTATGAGCAATTGATATGAATAAAAGAAAAACCCAAGAAGAAAAATACATAATTACATGGAAGTATGTCCTCAAGACTAATAACAGAAAAGGCAAATAAAAGCCACCTTGGGATATTAATTTTTATCAAAATAGAAATGATTCTAAAATAAACATCATTACTAAATAGTGGTGAATTTGCTTTAAAACTGCCACACTCACTTTCTATGAGAATCATTGTAAATTTTTTATGATCTTTATAAAGAGCAGTTAGGCAATAGATGCCAAGAAGTTCAAAATAGTTTTTCTGTTAACTAATACTTTGATAATTTGATTATAGTCAATGCATGGTGAGTTATCCTAAAATAACACTTCAAAAAAAGACAGAGAAATTATGAAAATATTAAATTATCTGTATTAGTAAATATTGTCCTCCAAAGAATAGGGGAAATTTTTAAAAAGCAGAATTACATTATAGAAAAATGGCTACATGAATAACATTCCTGTATTTGATGAGTTATCATGTAGCCCATAATTTAAAATTAAAAAAATAATTTGAAGTATAAAAATATGAACAAGATCTTGAACTATATAAAACCAAATGATAACGTCACTGTGAATCAACAAAGTAACAAAGTCTAGGTAGGCACAAAGACTCAAATTTCATATAAATGAAAGTGTTTTTTCTTACATTAGAGCAAAGGATGATAGAAACTTTGCCCCGGTTTATCTCTAATATTGTTATAATGTTCTTATAATTAAAAAAAACAGGAAAAACGTGTCAGTTATGTTTCCAAACAAGATAACATTGGAATTCTTTCATATGATTTTCCTATTGAAGCTTCTGAAAACTTTTCACCCACTTTATTAAAAGCTGATATTGCAGAGATTTGTTTCACTTCTCATGAGAACGTCCTTTTGATAGATTACACAAACACAGAAGATTTCATAGTTCTTTGTTAGTGCATTGACATTAGGTTGAAATTGTAACTTTATGGGAAGTTACCTTTTCTCTAACTATGGAAAAGATATTTAAACACACATTTGGATTGTATAAATGGTTCACTAGCTGCTAACAAAACTTTATATGTGTATGTTCTTTAAAATTATTTTAAAATTGCAATAATAATGCAAGTAGAGAACTAAAATAATCTAGTAAGTCTAATGAATGCCTTTGAGGCAAAGTGGGAAATTTGGGGGTGAAATTTTTGTTTTACTTTCCTATTTCCACACAATTCAGAGAAAACTTTTTTATTTTTCATTCTATAAAAGAACTTTTATAATTTCCACATTAGTCAAATACAGACTTTCTATATGAGGCATAATTCCATCTATGAAACCTAGTCATCTTGCAAAAAATTATGTCTTTTATTTATTTGTGAAATTTCTTATAATTTATTTATATATTTAATGGGTACCTATCAAGTGCCAAGAACTTTCTGGTCACTGGACAAGAGAGATAAAACTCTTGAATCATGGCTCTAACTTGGGTAAAAGTAGACAGACAATGGACATGATGAATTAAAAAACAAGAATTTCAAGTTGGATAGTGATATGTTTTTTGAGAAGAAAACTTAAGCCAGGAAAGACTTGAGGAAGTGAAAGAGCTATGTCGTAATTTTACATCTGAGGCTCAGGAAATGTCCACGTGAGAGAGTGAGGTTTTCATCAGGACCAGAGCGAGATGGGAAGGTGTCCATGTGTTCTGGGCAGTGAAGTGGTATAATTTGACTTGCTTGATGAGAGGAACACCCTAGAGGCACTTGGAGAATAAATAATTAGATAAAATAGAAAGAGTAGGAGTGAAGTTGGGAGATCAGTGAAGTTTTGGGCCACTAAAAACTCCAAGTAGTGATATAATTACATGTAGGGATCTGGCGTTAAGAGGAGAGGACTGGACGACAGACTGATGTAGGAGTCTTCAGCCAGCTTTATAGTTTGTATTTAAAGTGAAGATACTGGTGAGAACACCAATGTGAATGAATAAAAATAGAAAGAGGGCAAAAACTGAGACCTGGAACAATCCGATGTTCATAAGTTGGAAGATGAGGAGAAATAAGCAGAAAAAAATTAAAATTCTCTGAATGGACTGTCTAGGGCAATCTTCTATTGAGTATCTGATCTCAATAGAAAGGCATGACACACAACCAAATTTTTGCTATACACTCAAGGCCTATCCTTTTTATACATTTACTGTTTCTTTTTTTTTCCTTTTTAAAAAATATTTTATTCATTTATTTTTAGGGAGAGGGGAAGGGAGGAAGAAAGAGAGGGAGAGAACCATCAGTGTGTGATTGCCTTTCATGCACTCCCCGACTGGGGACCTGGCCTGAAACCCAGGCATGCGTCCTGATTGGGAATTGAACAGGTGACACTTTGGTTCACAGGCTGGCACTCTATTCACTGAGCCACACCAGCCAGGGCACATTTGCTGTTTCTTGATCTCTCAAGAACCTACTTCTGTCTCTACCATGAGGCAAAACAGCTCAAACTCCATGTAGCAGGTTATAGGTGTCCTTGCATGCCTTGAACATCCTTTTTGTCTTCCAGGGTTCTGACGGGTCTTTCTACAGTATGTCAGAGGCTCTCCTCTACTTTTAACACTGACTCTTCTTATTTTACTTGCCCATTAAATCTGGTTGTTTTCAAATTAATGTCTTCCATATTATTCTCCTGAAAAATATTTTGTTGGATGTTTTTCTCCTCTTCTTTGTCAAAGTGCTATATTTTGGTGCTTGTTCATCAATTCTTTTACTTTCCTTTTCTTTCTTAATGCCTCTGGAATTCCCCCATGTAATTGCCAACTCTCCATTGCTACTACCCATGATGCCTAGCTGAGGTAGAGAAAAATGAGCTAAAGTCAAAAGATTGGAATAGAGTGGAAGGAATGACTCTGAGGAAGTAAAAAGTGGCCGTGTAATCGGTTATGGGTCTCGTGGGTGAGGGTGAACTAGAATAAAGCCCTGACCTCTGGCTGAGGCCACCATGCTTTGCTCGTATCTCTACATTACCTTTGTACCCAGCTGTACCATATGTGTCTCACTGGCCAAAGAGTAGAAATAAATGATTATAATAAACAGGTGACATAGATTATATGCCAATGCCCAAAAATGTAAAAAAAGAAAAATTAGGTTGATTTGGAAAATGTACCATTGTAGCTAGTTGTATTATTAAGAAAACAATTTGAGCTGCATCAGAAATGGCATGTGAGCTGGAAATATATATATCATTGGTGATAATTTATAGATTTTTGTCTCCCACATTAGAGCATAAGATCTTTTGTGGTTCTATTCTATATTCATTGATCTTGGCATTGTCATGACTGGCACAATGCTTGATATAATGGTACATAATAGGAATTTGTCGAACTGGCCTACATGAAGAGACGGGCATTTGCATCTTAAAGTTTATTGACTGAAAAATATCCTAATACTTACCTTTCTATTTAATGATGTAGCCTCTGGCATTCTAGAGCCATGTAAAAAGGAAGGAAGGAAGGAAGGAAGGAAGGGAGGGAGGGAGGGAGGGAGGAAAAAAGAGTAGAATTCTTTGTTTCTCCCAAGAAAAGTCCTTTAAGTTAAGAAGGCCCTGTAAGTTCTAAATTGCAAATTTATTGAAAAATACATGTGGAGCATCTGACAGAGTATATGAATAAAAATAACATTCACTTTAATGTATTGAGGCCAAAGTTAGACCAAAATAATAATAAAATAATAATAAATTGTTTAAGTTTTCTCTAAAATAATAAATTGTTTAAGTTTTCTGTAAGACATATCTATATAAGCTTTAACAAAAGTAGTGTATCTATATTTAAAGGGCTAAATGTACAGGAAGTGATTTGAGAAATATCCCCCCAAACAATCTGAGGAATCCGTACTGCTGAAGCACATGGAAAATCCCCATTTTTCCATGTTAACTAACAGTCTAGTTGCTTGAGGCAAATATTGCAGAGAGAGTTCCTAACTCTCCATCCACATTGGAGATGTTTTGAAGAGTGGTTCTCAAAAAAGGAATGGGCATTTGGAAATGTGTAGGTATGATGTTTTGGGACTTTATGCAGGCAGGATGCAATGGTGTAATGGTTAAGAGACATTATTGATATTTAGTGGGTGGCAGCAGGGGGTGAGGGGTGATAAACGTGCTGTACAACGAAGACAGTCCTTTGCCCAAAAGGATGGTCCCAACCAAAATTCGAGTAATGTTCTCCTGAGAACTCCACTGGGGCATGTCCCCTGCTCATTGCCAGGTGACCTGACAAAAGGAAAATGAATGCTGATTTGGAACAAGCTACAGTGAGTGGCAGTGTCTCAACAGTCTCACGTGGGCACCAGCCCCAACCTTTGGTTCATGTTCAAGGAAGCTATGAAAAGAATGAGTGTAGAATAGGGGGGAAAAGTCTGAATTAAGGACAAAATTTATTTAACAAGAAATTCCCTATCAGAAAGCACATCTTTTTGGTCCCCCTGTCTCAACATATCCATTTTCTTTAAAAAAACAAAACCAAAACCAAAATAATCTATGAGACTAATACCTTATAAAACACAGATTGGTCCATTTACCAATATTTTTAAGTATATTTTATATTCCAGGTTGCTTTATGCTGTGGTGATAAATATTTAACAAACAAAATATGGTCCCTCCTTTATGGACCTCAGGGTCTGGAGAGATTTATCAGACTCAAAAGGTTTCATCTTTTTTACAAAAATAATCCCATCTAGAAGATTGAGTAATATAACAGATGTTTACTTTGTATTTAAATGAAAATGGAGTCACAAAACTCAAATATGAAGACCAAAGTCATAGTCAAACACAATGAGAAGCGCCAGTCAGCAGCTGGAAAGAAGAGATTTCTTGTTACATAGTAGATGTATCTGAACTCATACTTTGTGAGCCCCTTTTCTATAAACTAAGTTCAAAGTTAAAGAACTTTGCCACATAGTCCTCATTGCTTTGACCCATAGTTTTGAAAGTTGATTTAGCTAAGCTTAATTGCGATCTCAGTTTTTAAAGTGTTTTTTTTTTTTCATTTGTTTTGCTTGGCAAGTGAAACTGTCATCCAATTCAAATAACAGAGTGAATGAAAAAGGGTCACGTGCTAGGGGATTCTGGGTCGGAATTATCTAAGTTGGTTTCCTAGAATGATCAATTTTCCAAGGTAATTTATTATACTTTACCTCTACCTAAGAGAAGAGTATGCAGATTTTATACCTTCCTCCTCCACTTCCTTCTTCCACCAATGCCAAGTCATTTAAGAACGCACTCTGGTCAGATCAACAGGATATAAGGAAACTAAGACCAATTCGCAGAAGGATGCATGAACAAAGATTGTCTCTGCAAATTGCAATACAAAGAATCTCCTTGGTAATATATTTTTATAAAAACATATGTCGGCTGGTGGCCAGGTACTTGCAAATACCCCTGCCCAAAGCCGGATGAATGTTTGCATGTGAATGATGGTCTTCATTTCCTGGACAAGCTATGAATTAGGTGCTCTAGAGCTTCCAGTACTCTCGCCTCAACGTGGCTGGCCGGCCGTGTTGAATCCATAACTCAGCATTTAAGAGAATAAGAAATGATGAGAAGATGTTGGTGTTATTCTGAGTTTATCAATCAAATGAACTGAATTGTTTCCAAGATAACATCATATCACTTTTTTCCTGGAATATGTTCCTCAGCCGTGAGTGCTCACATTGGAAACTGCAGCATTTCTAGAGAACTTGGTGGAATTGCAAACTATTGGTTCTCCCACTGCAAAGATTGAAAATCCTGATGATTAAAGCCCATCAATCTATTTTTTAATCAAGGCTCTCAAGTGATTCTGAAGCATCTGAAAGAGATACAGGCATAGATTTTGTCATAAAATATAGACTGTGCCTAAAAAGCTACAAGGACATATTTCTGATGCTGCCAATGTATAATGAGGAGTCTTGAGAAATAAATAAACCATAGAAGTAAGAAAGGGAAAAGAAAACTAAGTTTTTCCCTTGATTCCTAATTTGGTGACTAGATTTTATCTCCCCCAAGTGATAAACAGATGATTTGGCAAGATAGAAACTGGCTCATGAAGATCTGATAAAAAACCACAGGAAATATTTGCTTCAATTTTTGCACAACTCTCTGTTCTAAGGAAAATTATTTTTTCACTTAAGCTAAACAGTTATTTTTTGCCACTTGGAAAAATAGTTTTCACAGCTAAAAATGAAAAGCTATCTCTCACTCTCAAAAAAACACACACATACAAACAGATACACATTTGTACATGGAGAAAGAGATGCGTCGTTTTCATATAAGTCTGTCTTTTCCTGTTACAATAAAAACTTATGGGTAGGTATGAATGTAACATGTTAATATAGATAGTAGATATATAAATTTAGTTAATTATGTTCCTTGGTCAAATTAAAATTTAATTATAAAATTCATTTGGACACATCGGATTGAAGGGTCCTAGCCATTTTATGTGTAATTGATCAATTTTTACTTGTGTTTGACAGAAATATGGCCCAGTGGAATACCACTGCTGATGAACTGGATGACAATGATAGTTTTTCAGAATCTGTCAAGTTTGATGCTCGATCAATGAAAACTTTGCTACTTTCGAGTGAGTAGGAGAAGGGTGGGAATGCCCAGGCCGGTTACCCTTGGAGTTACTGACCTTATGTAAAACTGCAGTCTTGAGACTTATCTGACAGGTGTATGAACATTAAACTAATACTTACTGGATAAGTAGGCCTTTCTCTGTCTTGAGACAGAATGCAACATAAGTTTACATTGAAGTAAGGAAACATTATAATAGATTAAATTAGTCCACAATGTTGATTTTCTGATTTCCCAGCCACTGAACTATGTCCTAGAGATGACTATGAACCTGGCACCATGAATTAATCTTTGAAAATCATGGGTGGTAGGTGCTTGTCTTAGTTTCCTAGTGTTGCTGTGACCAATGATCACAAATGAATGGCTTAAAACGACAGCCATTTATTCTCTCACACTTCTGAAGGCCAGAAGACTGAGGTCACGGGTCAGCGAGGCCAAATTCCTTTTGAAGGCTCTCAGTTAAGAATTCTTTCTTGCCCCTTTATAGCTTCTAGTGGCTCCTGGTAATCCTTAGCATTGCACCTTGTTTGTGACTCTGTCTTCACATGGTCTTCTCCCCTGGTGTCTTCATGTCCTCTTCTCGTAGGACATCAGTCAGTGGATCAGGGCCCATCCTAATCCAGTATGACCTCATTTTTTACTTGATTATCTCTACAAAGACCCTCTTTGCAGATAAGTTCGCATTCACAGATACCCACTGTTTTCAACAATATCTTTTTGAGAAACACAATTCAATACATAACAGTGCTGAAACAGCTGTTTGTACACTTACCACAAGACCTCAGAATATAGTATTTGGTTTTATCTGGGCAGGTTCCTTTAAGGTGTCAAAGACAAAGGTGCTTTAATTCTGCTTAAGCCCTTAAGTATATTTTACCAGGGGATGGGGTGGGTAGAGAAGAAGTCATAGGGATGTTTCAGTCAGAGGAGGCAGAAAATGCAGTTATTGGATCTTATATAAATTCTTACATAGAAAATCCTGAAATACAGACCACAACTCCAAGGCATGGCGGCTCTTGCATGCTGTGTTAGCAATAGATGGGAGGCTGTGGCACCAGTGAGACAAGGAGAAAAGGTAGAACAAGATAATAATAGAGCTTTTAAAGGTGGAGATGTCTTGAGATTGAGGAAGGAGAACAGAGTCATTGTGAATAGAAAAAAAAGTGAAACACAAACACACAACTTTTGAGAGCTTTTAAAAAGCAGCATGCAGAGAAGCTGTGATGGTAAATTGGAGATAAAGGGGAGGAGGACTCAGGGTTTCAGGCTTGGTCAGTCTGGCAGATGGAATAGCCCATCTCACTAGTATTGCGGGTTATGCTTTTTCTTTTTCCTTAAATCTTTATTTTTTCTCTTTTCTTTTCTTTTCTTTTTTTTCTTTTCTTCTCTTTTCTTTTCTTTCCCTCTTTCCCTTCATTTCCTGATAGAATATTACTAAACAGTGTTTGAATTCTTGTTTTTAGTTTTGGGGTATACTTGAGGGATTTTATTTTCACCCAGAATATATTCCCCTGTGAAACGGAAGAATACATGTGTTCACATATGCTGGTGTTAATATTAAAATTTACCAACTGATGCTCCAAAATGAGATGAGCACAGCATGTAGAGAATAGGCTGTTTCCTGTGGATGCTTAATGAATGGGTGAGTAAATCCACTGTCCATAGTGAGGGGTGTATTGGTCTAGTCTGTGATTGTTCCTTCTGCTTCCTACTGAATAAACAAGGACCGATTTTTCTTCTTTTTATTTCAATTGGTTTCATACTAACCATTAAACTACAGATTACAAAAATTTTAATGGAATAAGAAGATTAAGTTTTCTAATTGAGGTTGGGCTTTTGTTTTTTAGATCCTAAAAATGGCCCTACCTTTCAAGAGAGACTGAAGTCCTTCAAAGCTGCGTTGATTGCCCTTTATCTGCTGGTGTTTATAGTTCTCATGCCCATCATTGGGATAGTGGCAGGTACAGTATTCCAGAGTTCTGAAACCTGGCAGCTCATCCTGTGTATTAGTTACTCTAGAAGCAAGAAGAAGCATCCAGTCTTTTGTGTATGGAAGAGGCATCAGGTGAACTTTGTATGACAAAGTGTTACTCAGATTTATTAAATGAAAAACAGAGTCTTTGAAGCTGTTAAGTGAAGAAATAGAAAAATGAAGTAGAATAGGAAAATGAAAGATTATGATAAAAATATAGCTATAGAAAGAATTGACATTATCAAAAATATATTATCATCTGAAATCCTATCTACATCTTGTGGTGGGTCACTAATTTCATAAGTATCCTTGTTGCCAGTGTTAAATTATGAACATGGTTATTTACATTAACAATGCCTAAAATATAAAAACAAGCCAGGTAAATTCCTCTACTGCTGGTATTGAGGGCAAAAAGGAATATACTTGTAAGTATTTTAAAAGAAATTAATGGTCTATCCTTCATTAATATCTTTAAAGTTTATATGGTTACCTGTTTCATAAAGCCATTTTAAAAAAAATCTCTAAAAATAACTTAATAGTATCCTCTCAAATGAAAATATCAGACCACTATACTTGGGCTCAATATGATGTTTTCCAGGTATATGTGTTTCTTTGGAGAGTCTGACTAGAACTGGGGATCGATTTGAGGGCTTTCCCAGGGGCAGCTTGCATATAACTCAGTCAGATCCATAAGAGTTAGTCTCTTCAGAAGCATTTTTGATGTACTTGATTGGTATTTGAGTTTATATGCCTTGTAGCTCTCCTTTCTGTATGACTGGCAAAACAGGCATATGCTCTAATAAGAGATAGGCTGGGAGTAGGACATTTTCTTATGTGCATATTAATCAGCTTAAAAAGAAATTGCTCCTAAAAACAAAGCCAAATCTCTTTTGCTAAGAGACAATCTAAAGGAATATTCCAAAACAAAGCAGAAATTCTGCTAAAAAAGGAATGATGATAAAACAATAAACGTAACAGTAGCTATCATTTTGAGCACTTACTATGTTCAGACATTAGGCTCTCTGTTTTTCAAAGGTCATCTAAATACACCTTTCAGGTCACCCCTGGGCACACACGTGCCCCTGCTCATTATCCACAGGAGGAAACTGAGCTTCATTATCCACTGAGTAGTGGAGCTGGAGTTTCCCATCCATGCCACTCGACTCCTAACCTGGATGGTCTGCTATCCCCCAGTGTAATTGGGTTTTTAGCACAAAATATACTTGAACAATGAAAAAAAAACAGCATTGCCATAATTTTAACCAGGAAAATATGTTCCACAGGTAAAGATTGGCTCCTATTTTGACTATTAAAAACAAAAGAAAACCCAACCACAACAAACTAAACCAATGAGCCAATCAAACCAAACACAGCCATCTAAGTAAAAAAAGCTAATAAATCTGTCATGAAATTAACTTCCTGATGCACTGAGGTTATCTCTGCATTGTTTATGTACATGTTTATCTGTAGTTTGAAAGGTGTAACTGAAAGATTTTATTGTTTGTGATTATTAACTATAAGGCAGTTATACTTTGGGTGAATTTCATCACCTTTATATAAACCATGGTCTGCAGAGCCTGCCCAGGAATGCAACTTCTTTCTCATAAGCTCTGTAGAATATCTGTAAAGAATTTGGTGTTCTAACCAAGTTCAACATCTCTGACCTATTAGAAAATACTATCATGTCAACACATTTGTTTTAGGGTTGACAGTGATTGATCTGAAGTGGTTTCATTTACTACGCTATAGCAGGTATCCATGAAGACAGATGAGAAGTTAAAAATGTTCGAATTGAGTGAGTTCATGTTAGCACCCAAATTCATCCCAAGTTGAAATAGATCTTACTGTGTCTATCACACTTGAATAATAAACAACGGACAGTCCATTTACAACTTCAATTAGGTTGTAGATCAGAATAGTTTTCCAGAAAAAGCATTGAATATTTTCAATGCATAATCACTACTTGCTATCAAAAAGTTGCAATTATAGAAAAAAATATAACCCTAAAAGGATAGTAATCAGTTTGTTTTAGCAAATGTGAACTGGTGGGTAAAGTAAAATGTTGTACATAAAAAGGCTACTTAAACCTCAATGTCATATTCATAGAATGATGTTTCTGAATTATAAATCTATTCCATATGCTGCCTTTTCCTAAAGAAGCTACTAGATCATGGGTGTAGTATAACAACATGACTATGACTCTGGACAATAAAATATAATTTAGTATTAATTTATATGAATTGTTACTGAAATACTGAAGATTCTTCAGCTCAAAATAATACAGATTTTTGGTAGGAGAAGATACTACCAACACGAAAAAGTAATTGTGATCTGTAGGATCAAATATAACTCTCTCCCTAGGTCTTTGCTCAACCCATAAAACTTGTTTCCTTTCAAATGGGACAAAGTCAAAAAATGCCATCTGTCCAATGATGGTGGAAGAAATAAACATTTGAAGATGGAAACTCTGGTATTCTTTACCTAGGTTTATGATACAGAGTTAAACATTTTTAATGGAAGTAAGGATCAAATTGGTTTTCATTCACAATTTGGGAAAATAAGCACTCTTGTGTTTTTAAATCTATAAATAAAATGTTACCTTTATTGTCAATTCACATTGAAATTGATGTCAAATAAAAACCCTTGGTCATATGGACCTTTTGTTAGATCAAATCTCTCTTTTATACTGTGAAAAGAGGCTGCTTTGCCCATTAAAGTAGAAATTGATTCTAGTATAAGTAAAATTATATGGTTGAACAATCAGATCAATTTTCCTGGTAAAGGAAAATTGAGCACAGAGATTACTGTACTCATTGCAATACTAAACCTCCCCTCAGTTTTTATATTACATAATATTAATTGCCCCTAGTTATCAATGTTGTAAAAATGAATATGTAAGTCACAGATAGTAAATCCAAAATATTTAAAAAAATCAAAAAAGCTGAAACTTATCAAATGCTTATTATGTGCCAGGAATTATTCTAAGTACTTTACATATATCAGCTCATTTAATTATTTAAATACTATTATTATGCCATTTATACAGAAGTGAAATAGAAGCATTGACAGATTAACTTGGCCAAGACACAATTTATAAAGGAAAGAGCAAGAATTGCTAGCCCAGGTAGTTCTAATCCAGAACTTGTATTCTTTTTTTAAAGATTTTATTTATTTCTTTTTAGAGAGAGGGGAAGGGAGGGAGAAAGAAAGGGAGAGAAACATCAATGTGAGAGTGGAACATCTGTCAGTTGCCTCTTGTATGTGTCCCCAACTCCCCAACTTGGGATTGAACCCACAGCCCAGGCATGTGCCCTGACCAACCAGCGAACTTTCTTTTTGTGGTATGGTTCCCAACCAGCTGAGCCACACCAATCAAGGCAGAACATGGATTCTTAACTAAAAAAAGGAATAAGCATCATAAAAAGAAAACATTTAAGGGACAACTTTGAATTTCAGTCAGTTTTCTTCTGAGAGTTACTTGGACAGTGTTTTATATTTAGTAGGTGCTAAATAAATAAATCACATAATTGATGAATGCATCAATGTGGCTGTCAACCCAAAATTGCTCCCACACTTAAATTAATAAATGTGATAAGATCCTACTAAGAAATATAATTTTTGTCCAATTTGTTGCTACATTAAGAAATATAAAATAATTAACACTTAAAATGGTCTCTGTTATGGATCATATCAAAATATAGTCACACCTGTTTATTAATGCAAATAAGCTCATTTTAAGGAGAATGTAAGTAGGGCCCATAGTAAAATGTGTTTTTTAAAATTGGGATTTAATTGCATATATAGTTTAATACTTAGTATAGTAACATCTACAATAGCAACCGCTATCAATGGCTTCTTTCAGTAAAGGTGGTAAATGTTTCCATTGTAAGTAAGATAACCCCTTCCATGGTTAAGGCATTGAAATTTGAATAGAAGTTTTGTATGTGTCACCTGTGTGCTGTGAGATTCACATGCCTTATCTCACTCATCCTCAGCACCGCTGTTGAGATAGTTACTACTCACAGATCTCTTAGGGAACCTAAGAAAGAGAAGATAAATAATTTGCCTGGGTACCCCAGCCCATAGTGAGGAGCAGAGCTGGATTCCAGAGTCAGGTAGCTTGGCCCTGTGCAAACAACAAGGTCTCATGTATGTGACAGGCACCCTGAGCTAAGGGTAGAAACTAAATGTTTCTTTTTTCATATGTTATCTCATTAATTCTTAAAATCCTATAAAGCTGGCACTATTGCCATATCATTTTTACTCAGAAAACTGACAGGTCAGAAAAAGCTGATTATGTACATGTATTTTTCAAACACAAGTTATATAAAGTTATTCTTATTATTGCTTAATAATGGTGAAGTATAAAAATTTATATATTTAAACAAATATGAATAAGAGACTGATATATATATAGATAAAAGTTATAAATAATGGAGGTAGAGACATGAAAAGATAACAAAATCTTAACCGTCACTGGTTAGAATAAAGTAGTGTTAATGTTTTCTTTATGATGTATAATTATGTATTATTTTTATCTGCAAAGTTAATGTTTATTCCTTTTATTTTTTAAACTATAAATATATTCTAGATCATTTCAGAAGGATAATTAGCTTGTTTAGAGAATATATGTCTCTTTGGAAATATATATCAGCGGCTTTGTGTGTCCCATATCACTTAATAGAGTTTTTTCTTCAGGAAATAATCACTCACAAGATTGTTTACCAAAATATCAAATATATTAGTAAGAACAGAAACAAAGTAATATGAGGGGTTTGTTAAATAAGTTGGGTAGATTCATATATAGAATACAATGCAGTTCTTAAAATTCTTTTTATAAAACAATTCTAAATAATACACAAAAGTCTTTATAATATGGTATTAATTTAGAGTACTCTCCAGCTTGCACATAAGATGTAAGCTTGCTTTTACAATAATACTGAGGTAGTGAGAGCAGAGAGCCAGAGCTGGTATGCGTACTCCAAAGTGAGCATTTAACTTGGGGTGAAGGTTTTAATGGTAAATTATGTTCCCTTACTATTCATCTTTTCTAAGTTGTCTACCATGAACACATATTTCATAGTAGGCAAAGAGGAATCTTATAAAAATGATATTTTCTGAAGTAAGAATATTATTTGCCGATTTTTTTTGCTCCCTCAGCTATAAATTGGACCTGTGAAAACTGGGCTTGACAGTTTCTGCCAGCTTAGGGGTCGGGCACAGAAGGGGAAACACACGTTACTTGTACAGCAGATAACACTCAGACTTCTGCTTTTACTGCTTATTTTATCTCCATTTGTCCCAATAATGACTAATGTACTCAACACGCTGACCTCTGATACTCTGTTAAACATTATCTCACTTTATCCTAATGATGGAACCTGCCACAGTGCACTTTATAGTCTGCAGAATCTCTCTTACTGGGAAAATCAAATGCAATGGTCCAAAAGATTCTCTCTCTCTCTCTTTTTTTTTTTTTGGTAAAGATTTTGCTTATTTATTTTAAGAGATGGAGGATGAGAAGGAGAAAGAGAGGGAGAGAAACATCAATGTGTGGTTGCCTCTCAGGTGCTCCCTACTAGGAATCTGGCCTGCAACCCATAGTAGGAATTGAACTGGCTACCTTTTGACTCAATCCACTGAGCCACACCAGCCAGGGCTCAAAGGATTCTTATAAGCAGGACTTGAGGAAGAATGGTTTAATCCTGGAATAACCTCTAATGTAAAGTGTGAAGAGGAGACTGTCACCCTTGCAGCAATGTGCCTACTGTGGCTCATACATTGTCTATTTAAAATAAATATCTGATTTAGGTTAGCATCCAGAATGTTTGAATGGAATGGAAAGGCATGATTCAGAATGGAATGACACAGAATGCATGTGAGAAGACAGGTACAAGCGTTTAAGCAGACAGATCGTGACTCAGCTTGTTTTTGCTTAAATCTGCAGCTCAGCTCCTCAAGTGGGAGTGGAAGAATTGCATGGCTGATTCAATTAATACCAATGGTACTCCTCAGCATCTCAATGGAAAAGGAAATGACAGTGAAGAAATAAAATTTCGAGAGGTCGTCACAGAAAACATGAACAAAATGGAGAAGAGAATCGAGGGTATTTCAGATACACAAGCCAATCTCATAGATTCAGAACATTTCCAAAACTTCAGTGTGATGACCGATCAAAAGTTCAATGATGTTCTTGTCCAGCTGAGCAGTGCGGTTTCCTCAGTCCAGGAACATGGAAATGAAATAGATGAAATCTCCAAGTCGTTAATAAGTCTGAACACCACGTTGCTTGCTTTGCAACTCAGTATTGAAACACTGAATGGCAAAGTCCAAGAGAGTAAAATTAAACAACAAGAGGTAAGAGCTTTTGTATTGGGAGGTCATAGGTTGACAATGAATTCATTTAGATCCTATCTCCTCTGATAAGCAGGAAAATGAACATTGCAAATCGTGTTTGAACATCATCCTACTTACCCTGATTCTTTTGCTAATCTTACCAGAAAGTCTCAAGCAGATTTACCTAGTTCCTTTTCTGGATTCCCAGAAAAAAAATATTTTTATCCTCCTGCCAATTGGTTATAGTCTCTCTTCAGGTATTTCCTATGAAAAACAAACATATGACTAAAACTTTACTACTTTTGAAAAATAATCCTTATATTATAAAATATGTAAGACCTAAGATTATAAGTAATGTGAAGCCTATCAAATTCCCATCATTACCTTAAAAGTCAGGCATCTTTGTAGTAGGTTTTACTTGATAGACCAATTCTTAATGAGCAAAGCAAAGATTAATTAATTATAAAGCAAAGGGAAGCCTCTAAAGTTACAACGTCAGATGAAGAAACCAACTAAATTATTAACTAGACAATAGACTAAACAGGTTAATAAAGAATATCCTACAAGCTTATTATTTGTAAGCTGCAATTACTCAGAACTTTTGAATTTTTACTTGGTCCTTGTTTTAAGGTGTCGGAAGACAATGACATTGCTATCTAAATATGGGGACTCTGGGGATCTCATTCCAAAGCCAACCTTAAACTTCTGGTTTTCTTCCACATCATATTTTCCAAAATCTGACTGTTGTTGTTTCCTACATCGTTAATGAGTACCTGAGCCTACCACATAGTGTTGGGATATCAAGGGTCTGGGCCACGGAGCAGTTCCAGACAATGCACAAAGAAGAAACCGTCATGGGATTGAAGAACACAGGAGACAGAGGAAAAGAAAATGTCTGTGTTTGGAGTAAAAGTGACTAAGTTGCAGGGAAAGAGAGAGAGAAATATTACTTTAGGTAAAAACAGGGTTAGCGAAGCAGTGAGACAAGTGAAGAGAGAGAAAATATACACAATATAGAACAACAAGGACAAGTTTGATTTTGGCCCAAATCCAGCAGAGTCTATTGAATATTTATGAACCCATAGAAATGAACAGTTGAAACCAAATTGGAAACGTGTTAATGAATGGAAATAATCAAAATCTGGTGATCAGTGAACTGTGTGAGTTTGGATAGATTGCACTTGGTTTTTGGAACAGAGAGATGTGTTCTACAAACATTTATGTGCACAGTTCATGTTGATCATACTGTATGGAAACATGCCAGGTACTCAGGGCAGGAGGAGAGAGAGGGCAGAGACCTCCTAATCTAGAATAAGGCTTTGGGTGAGGGAAGGCGCAGGTGGAGCAGTGAATACCAAAAAGCCTCTGGGCTTGAGTAAGTGCCCTCGAAGGGGCCGATCTGAGTAGACGTGCACTTCTTGTCAAAGGTTTTACACCCTCGCTGCCTTGACCCTCTCACCTCGTCTTGTCCTGTCCATTCAGGGGAAGTGTAATTTTTACTTTATACCCAGATTAAGCAATACATATACTACTGGTTCATTTCTATGTACAAATGGGAAATGAGACTCTATCAACTGCGAAACATAGAAGTACTTAGAAAAGCATAAATCATACCATGAAAACAAAACTAGCACTAAAATGTAGCACAAAGAAATAGAAAACATGCCGGAATAGATGAAAAGGTTTGGTACATCAAAAAGGGAAAGGCCAACACCCAAAGCAAAACCAAGCAAAAAACCTGAAAGACAAAATAGCCAAGAAAAATATCATCGAAAAGTTTGACTTGGTAATTAACCTTATTATAGTTTGAAAACCAAGTGAAGTAACAAGTATTATGTGTCTACTCTTACTCTGCAAACTTCAGTATATTGATGGTACCTAGTGTTTGGGTTCAAAAAATAGGCACTAATGTACAATTAGTAGGAGTTTAGAATGGCACCATGTATTTGGAAGGCAGTGTGAGAGTACTGAACAAAAATCTTAATGTTTAGTCCCTTGGTCAGATTCACTTCCAGGAAGGTGTCCTACAGAAGCACTATGTAACCATATGTATAAAATGGTGCTCATTATAGCATTATTTAAAGTTGTAAAATACTTGCAGTTCGAAACTATCAATAGGAATTAAATTATAAAACATACACAGTATACATGCACTATTAAAAATAAAGCAGCCTCTAAGTGTTTTAATAGGTACATATATTATTTTTTATGCTTAAAATGAATTTATTTAATATTTAAATAAATACCTGTGGCATTTGGGAGGGGCCAAAGAACTATAAATGACCCACATTATTCCATAGGCTTGTCCCTGCTGGGCACATGTACCCAGGAGTAGATCCAGGTTTTGAGGGACAATCCTTAGGAAAAAATAATGCAAAATTATAAATACAAAATTGGGCACAAAAGTAAATACTTAGAATAAGGAAAGAAGCATACATTTTTAACTTTTAAAAATTGAAAAATATCATAAACATTATAAAATGGAGAAATATTACATTATATTTTAATTATTTGCCTGGCATATCACTACAATATTTCTTTTCTATTTCATGTTTTGTAATTGAATTTACTGGTGGCATAACATTGGTTTGCAAAACCATACAGGTTTCAAGTATACAACAACTCATTAAAGCATCATTGGCACCTGGCATCATGTGCCCATCACCCCCCAGCAAAGTGTCTCCCCCGACCCTTTGCCCACATCCATCCCGTCATCCTTCTTTCTCTCCGGCTATCACCAGACTATTGTCTGTGTCTGTGTGCTGTGTATACACATTTTATAGCTAATTATTTTGCTCCCTTTCATCCAGTCCCCCCTCCCCCTTCTGACAGCTGTCAGTCTGTTCCATGTATTCATACCAATATTTCTGTTTTGTCTGTCAGTTTATTTTGTTCATTATACTCCCCATATAAATGAGATAATATGCTATTTGTCTTCCTGTGACTGACTTACTTAACTCCCCATAATAGTGTCCAGGGCAATTCACGCTGTTGCAAAAGGTAAGATTTTCTTATTTTTTTAGGGCCTACTCGTAGTCCATTGTGTAAATGTTCCACAGCCTTTTTCCCCACTCATTTACTGCTGGGCACTTGGGCTGTTTCCAGATCTTGGCCATGGTAAACCATGCCGCTATGAACATAGAGGTGCCTGTATTCTTTCAAATGAGTGTTTCAGGGTTATTTGGACATATTCCTAGAAGTGGATTCACTGGTGAAAAGGTAGTTCTGTTTTTAATTTTGTGAGGAAACTCCATACTGTTTTTCAGAGTGGCTGCACCAGTCGGCATTCCTGCCAACAGTGCATTAGGGTTCCCTTTTCTCCACATTCTTACAAGCCCATGTTTGTAGACTTATTAATGATATCTCATTGTGGTTTTAATTTCCATCTTTTTGATGGCTAGTGATGCTGAGCATTTTTTCATGTGTCTATGGCCATCTTTATGTCTTCTTTGGAGAAGTGTCTCTTCAGGTCCTTTGCCCATTTTTTAATTGGATTGTTTGTCTTCTGATGTTGAGGGTATGTATTCTTTACGCGCTGGGAATTAACCCCTTATCAGATGTATCATAGGTGAGTATGTTCTCTCACATAGTGGATTCCCTTTCCATTTTGTTGATGCTTCCTTTTGCTGTGTGGAATCTTTTCAGTTTAATGTAGTCTCATTTGTTTATTTTTCCCCTTTGTTTCCCTTGCCCTAGGAGATATATCAACAAAAATACTACTACAAGAGATGTCTGATATTTTACTGCCTATGTTTTCTTTTTTTGTGGTTTTGTGACTTAAATTTTAAGTCTTTTATTCACTCTGAGTTTATTCTTCTGTAAGGTATAAATTGGAGGTCTAGTTTTCATTTTTTTGCATGTACCTGTCTAATTTTTCCTGACATTATTTATTGAAGAGACTGTCTTTACTCCATTATATTCCCTCATATCCTTTGTCAAATATTAATTGACCATAAAATTGTAGGTTTCTTTCTGGGTTCTCTGTTCTGTTCCATTGGTCTATATGCCTGTTCTTATGCTGGAACCATGCTGTTTTGATTACAATGGCCTTGTATTAATAGTTTGATATCAAGTATTATGTATTCTTAATATATTATAGAGTAAAAATGAAAAGCATGTCCCAGATTAAACAAGTAGGATATCTCTTGTTCACAGTCTCTCTATTTTATACTCACAGGTATAAAAATGTACACAAAATACATATAATTATAATTGAAAACAATGGAACCTCAAATAGAGGCAATAAAAATTAAAAGATATTGTTAATATGCTAGTCGAGATTGTATTTAATATGAAAAGCTATTCTGAATGTCAATTGCCACTGGGAAATATGGCATTCAACATTTTTATTGCTGTAAAACAGTTTAATATTTAGATCTACCAAATTCACAGAATTGGCACAGTATGTTTCTACTATTAGTACAATATAAAAAGTTTTACATCAGATGAACTAGAAACCATACAGGTTTTTAAAAATTTACTAGCATTTTGACATCTTTATATTTGGGACTAGAAGAATACCTTAGATACGCTCAATTAGCTGATGGGGGCACCACAGAGGATATAAAATTTCAGCCATTTAGTCAGAGACAAAATGCTTTAAAACCAAAGAGTTACTATCTTAAACCATTCTCTAATTCTTGTATTCTTATTCCATAATATTTGTGTAATATTATGTGGATTTTTTTAACATGGATTTCAGGGTTTCTTGAAGTTACATATTTCATAAATAATTGTGTAACAAAAATTGCGGATGCTTGCCTACATTTCACAGGAGATGAGTAACTTAGAAGAGCGTGTGCACAATGCGTCAGCAGAAATTCTGTCTATGAAAGAAAAACACGTGTACTTGGAACAGGAAATAAAAGGGGAAGTGAAACTACTGAATAACATCACTAATGACCTCAGACTGAAGGACTGGGAACATTCTCAGACACTGAAAAATATCACTTTAATTCAAGGTAAAATATCTTTTCATTCTTCCAGAAAATGGCATATTAAAATATATGCTGAGACACACTGAGATTTGATCTTCTAGATCCTATGTCTTGCAATAGTTTTGAGGATATATTTACTACAATTCTGTAGAGAAAGAAATCCTCAGATCATATTAAGATATGCTATGATAACAGTGTCATGGTGTTCTTTAAACAGAAAGGGATTTTAAAAAATGAAATCTCTCTTATTGTCTAATAAGGCATTAATCCAGGTATCCCACATTACTAAAGACCAAAAGAGGTTTTCTATAAGTCACAAAGTTCTCTAACATTAAAAAAATCAAGTTTGTTCATTCTCTTTTCCAAAACTTCCAGATTCTTTCTTATGTTTTACACTATTTTATTACTAATTTGAAAAGATTTTGAGCTCTCCTAAAAAATAAATTTGTCAAATGCTTTTGTATTGTGAAACAAGTTGAATTGAATATTACTGATTTTCAAGTTAATACATATACCATATATATTTCATACTAGCTTCTAATTCCTTATATTTTTAGCATTTTACATATTTACTTTCAACCTTTTGGTATCCTTTTGTTTAGGTTTGTCTCTTGTAAAGAACAAGTTTCAGAAGGCAATATATAGTACATTTTGTTTACAGTGCCTACAATTTACTAAAATTAAATAATGTATATTTACAGATGTATACATTATAATAAGAATGGTTGTTTTTAAAATGCAAGAAAATGAGGTACATAAAATTTATATTAATGTTTATCTCTGAATAGAAAGTAGATGAATGATACCTGGGGGTACCTAGATAGATACTTATTTTTTACGGAAGGAAATATGATATATATTTACGGAAGGAAGATATATATCTTCCTTCATATTGGACATTAAGTATATTTTTCCACAGGAGAATTCTTATTATGGTTGTCATACCTAAAAGTATCTCATACTACCTTCTAGTGAAATGTTACATCTTTTTGGAAACTTTAAGTTCCTTAAAATGAGGGATTATTTTTGTATTATAACAGCATCTAGCCATAAAACAAACTTTTAATCAATATTTATTAAACTATAACCAGGAGAAACATATTTTATACATTGAGTTCTTTGTCACTTGTGGGTTGTAGGATCTGCATCATTACTTTCTTTTTTTTTAAGATTTTATTTATTTATCTTTAGAGGGGAAGGGAAGGAGAGAAGGAGAGAAACATCAATATATGGGTTGCCTCTCTGAGTCCCCTGCTGGGAACTGGCCTGCAACCCAGGCGTGTGCCCTGACTGGGAATCGAACCGTGATCACGTGGTTCACAGGCCTGCGCTCAATCCACTGAGCTACACCAGCCAGGCCGCATCATCACTTTCTATTCCTCCTCTTTACATTAACAGTTTCTGAATAACAGTACAGATTAAAGAGAGAAAGATATTTTAATACATTTCTCAGGTAATTTTAGTATAGTCTGAAGGACTAAATTGTTGAAACAGTAAAGCAGAGTTTGGTAAGGAATGGGTGCAACGTGATTTAAAGAAACAAAGTTGGTGAACATTGAGGAAAAACATTAAGAGAAATAAACTATGACATGTCTCAGTGGTGGAAAAGAACATCATGTTCATTTGGAAAATGTTTATTTTTCTAGTATCTAATAATATATTTATATTATATATATAATAGTAAAGAAGAAGAATAAGTAATTGATGGTACTTAAATTTAGAGATTTGTGTGAAATTAATTATTGGAATTAAAAGGAGATTGTGTCTTTAGCTACTATAAATAAAAATGTAATCATATAATTTCAGGAATGATGGAAGAACAGATGTCAAAAATGAAGTCAATTAAGTTTGGAATAGTATCACATAGAATATCAGAAAATAAGAGTTCTAGTTCAGGTTTTACCCAATTAGCTTTAAGATCTTGGACAATTCCCTGTCTCTGACCCTCTATAAATATGTTTGAGTAAAGTTTCTAAGGCTTCTTCCACATTAAATATATTTAAGTCGGTACACATGAAAACTGGAAGAATACAAAATAGGGGCAGGTTTAAGCAGTAAGACCCTAGAAGATTTTGCAGATTTTTATGATCTAAATACGAGGTGAGATTGAGAATGAAATAAAAAAATTATGATCATAATGAGTAGGACATGAAGCCTAGCTCTGGAAATGTAGGCAGATGTTATTAGTGCTCTGTTGTCATCTGAGTATTTAAAATAAAAACATGCCTGGGTTTACTTTGTACTAAACTGCATAATGTTAGTCTATGATATTTATGATTACTGAGTATTCTAAATCAGTATAGATCATGGGGCTATGTAGAAATCTTATTTCCTTTTTTAAAAATTACCGTAGGAAAGGAGCTAAATAGTGGATTTTGTGTGTGTTTTATAGAGGGATTTGTTCATGAAAAATTATTGCTATAGCATTTATGAATTATTCTGGTAGCTTCACAGTTAGGAGGTATTAAAGATGAAGAAAAAATAGTGTGAATTATTATGGCCTCTTGAACTAGAGCAAATTGTACATTTTAACCATTGTTAATCTAGTTTCCTTTGACATACGTTAGCAATGGAGCCGGCAGGTAGCATTTTTCATTTCGTGCTCAGAGGTGGTTAGTGATATGATCATGAAACAGAATTTTGAGCGGCTAACTAGTAATTCAAAACAAAGAAGGTGACTACAATGGACTCTAAGTCTCCTAAGTTAGAGTTTTTGATTCTCGTTTCTACAACATGGCAGAAAGATTCCTACATTTCTTTATGGTTCAGGTGGAGATATGTAATACATAGATCAACAAATCAATCAGATAGATGTAGATACAGATTTTTAAAAAGCTGACTGAAGGAAATCAGAGGGTGAAACAGACAAAATACTTTCAGAGAAGATTAAGGAGAAATTCTATAATAGTCCAGCTGCAGGGTGACAAGCGTGGTAACCATAGCAGGGGTAGCAAGGAGAGCTGTTTTGGGAGGTAGCATGAAAGTATGAGGTTGACAATGTTCTCAAAAGTTCTATGTGAGAAGCTACAGAAAAGGGGTTTATGTCTGTACTTCTATCTGCTCAAACTATCTAAGATGCTAAAAACACTTATTGAGATACTTCCCACATTTTGGTCTTAGCAGTAGAAGAGATATAAATAACAATGGCTAAAAGTGAAACAGAATATAGTAACTGAGATTAATGTTACATGAAGAACAAAATAACAATAAAAAATTAACGTCTAATGCACCTAATTAGAATCTTTAAAGAAAACATTTTCCTGGGTCCCTTCCTCTGGTGGTCAGATACCTACCTGGTGGTAGGGTTTTGTTCTTGTTCTTTTTGACTTATTCTTCAAATAATTTTATTTATTTTTCAGTTGTAGTTGACATCAAATGTTATATTAGTTTCAGGAATACAGTATAGTCGTTAGACATTTCTGTAACTTATAAAGTGCTTGTCCAATAAGCTTAGTGCCCACCTGACAACTATACCCAGGTATTACAGTGCTGTTGACTATATTCTTTATGCCGTATTTTACATTTTTGTGACTGTTTTGTAACTGCCAGTTGGGGTCAGTATTTTTATACAAAAATAAACAGAGGGGGATTTTTAACTCAGGATCTTATAAAATAACACTTATTTATTATGATTGAACTGATGCTCCAACATCAGAGCTGTATACAGTTACTATATATAGTTGCATGCAAAGTAACTGAAAGGATGATTAGTGATTATGAGTTTTATTTCTTCCTTACTAAAGAAATGGTGAAAACTCTTAATCTAGAGGCTAAGAACCTAGATCTAGTCTGTAGGTTTCTGGGTCTTCTCACACATTCTAGTTTTTCGTGGAATGCCTGTGTCTTGCTTTAGAGCTTGAATGACTAAATCAAAGTTTTTGACTGTCTACTTAAACAAACAAACAAACAAACAAACAAAAAAACAAAACCCCACCATCCTTGGATACTGTGAATTTGCTTCCCTTCAATTTGCTCAGCAAAACTCAGGCTGCAAATTGAGCCTTTCTGCCTTGCCTGCTGCCTCCTTCATCTCTGCAGAGTCAACTGCTGTGTTCATGGTGTGGAAGTTAAACTCCCTTTGTTGGGAAGAGCCTTCTACATAGAACAGGAGATGCACACAGATTCCCACTGATGTAGAACCACATTTCTTGTGCACCACCTCAATGAGTGTTTCTAACATTAAGCTATAGCTTAGGAGAATTTGCTAGTTAATTACTTAATACCCAGGAATATATAGTTTACATGATGGTTATGTGAAAAATTGTGCAATAGCAAATAACAAACACAAACCCAGGAAAATGTATGTGGTTCTCTTAAGATGATAGCATTATTAACTATATCTTTCTCACATCTTTTCTAGGCTTTTATATTTCCTATAATAAGTAGAGTTGTTTTTGCAATGAAAACACAACCAAGCACTGCTGTCCAATGTTGCATTTGCAGATAAACAGACAATGTGCCATTGAGAAGAACAATGATATCTTAGACACTGAGTAACCATGCAAGGAATGTTCTAAAAACCCAAGTCAGACCTTAAAAAAATGGAACAGGTCAGAAGAATAGAGAGAAGGAAGGACAAAGACTTCCAAAGAATCAGAAAATGGATTGATTTTACTTACTCACGAGACAATCTTTACCTATTTATGTGGTTACCTGTTAGAATTCTTCAGTTGTTGTATCTCCCAATGTAGTTAAAGTTTGTGAACAAATAGCTCTAACCAGCGACACTAAATATAGTTGTGTGTTGTCCTTGGGCTGTGTAGGCAGCTGAGCCATAGCAATTGAAAATGTCTCTTTTAAAACATCGCTATTCAATGATTCTATGATACATTCGAGTTTGTTTCTTCCTTTTGGAGCTGAAAAGAAAATTGTTTGCTGTAAATGTAGAGAATAATGCCTGCTCTGTGTACTCTGTGTAGAAGAGAGAATTCTAGTAGGACGCCTTGAGGTTCTAAAGACATGCTCAGTACCATCATTCTAAAGAAGTGATCACAGATCACGTATCTGTTTTGCTGGGCACATAAAATTCAAATGACTGAGTCAGTGTTGATCTAACTCAGTACTAAGAGACACCTGGGAAACTGTGAGGCCAAGTAGTCAAAATTTTCCCTGTAACCCTTCCAACTTATTTTAGAATATCTATATCTGTAAAATATTAAGTAGGAATCCTACTTAATATTTTACTTGAAATAGGATTCCTTTACTTATTTTCACCTGTTTTCTATTCCCTGCATTTCTCCCACTTACCCAGAATTCTCTTTCATCTCATTCTCTTCAATATTTGAAGTGCCCTTCAAATCCCACTCCCTCAATGAAGTCTTTTCACATTGCAACTCATGCTGATTTGAACCTAACAAATGTTTGAGTTTGTCACTTTCAGCTCTAGTGTTTTGGTCATCTGCTATGTGTGGCTTAGTTTCCCTTGAGGGCATCACTCACGAGTTGTGTGTTTTTACTTTTACATTTTGCACACAGCATGGACTCAATATAGTAAAATCTGTCCAGTGCGTGCACAATGCTGACATGGGTTTGTGCCGATTTTGACTCAGTGTCTCGTCTCTGTCCCCTGGTTCTGAGAACCCAGAAAAGTGCTAGGCACACATATATATGTGTACACAATTAGGTTGTCTACTTTAGGGCTGTGTAACCCTTGTGAGTATACGGCATTGCACTGCTCCATAGCAGGGTATACCTCTGTTGGGAAAGGTCAGTCTTACTTATTCTGCATTATTATGTAACAAAGAAAAGGCTTTGACTTTAGTTATACTGTTGTCTACAGATCCATTCTACCTGTGCTTTCAAACTATGATCAGTAATTGTAATTTATTTTTTAAAGGTCCCCCTGGACCCCCAGGTGAAAAAGGAGATCGAGGTATCCCCGGAGAAGCTGGCCCACGAGGCAGTCCAGGCCCAATGGGTATGGTACTGAGAACTGGTGACTCAAACTTACTCATGCACTACAGGGCATGAGTAAGACCCATCTGTGTATGCGTGCAGGGGCAAGAGCCATTTATTTCCCTGTGGGAAGTGTGTGTGCATCAAGGGACGTATTACCCATCCCAGCAGACTAATCACTCTAACGTACTGAACAGAAGTGCTGACCCTGGAGGAAATTGCAGGCTTTAGCCAGAGCAACCGCATGGGGCTGTTCACAAAGCACATAAATCTAGGGAGGAGTGCTGTCCACATCACGGACAGCAGTCAGTATAAGGCACCATCTAGCTTTACATCACACATGGAGGAGACTATGACAACCGTCTTCACGTTGAATATGTTTGCAAGGAATCTGGTTTTTAAGAAGCAAAAATTATGTGTTAATATAAGTCAAAGGCAAACTGGATTAGATTCCTTCTATAGTCCTTAAGTGGAATTTTCCTAAACCTACAAAATCCAAATGTGAAGGCTGATTAGAATGCAGTTGACTTTCACCTTCGTTGTCAGACATTGTATTTTTACTTAGAGCAAAATCGTTTCCAATTATTTTCCCTGTTTGTGGTGTAATCTTGAAAGCAATATTTTGAAAGAAGATAATAGAAGGCAGAAAAAGAGAAAGAGCAAAAACTTTCTTTGCTCTTGTAAAAATTAAGAAGACAACAATGACATGATTGCCGTGTTCTTTTTGGCTAGGAATCAAATACCCCACATGCTTTTTTGCAAGCAGGGAGAATATTGCATGGTCTAATTACAACTGGAATGGTTGTTGCTGACAAAATTGTCTAAACACCAAGTACTTTATCTTAGGTTTTTGTCTTTTGATTACATAAAATGTTCTTCTTTCTGATCAATGTATTGACTAGCCCAGATTACATCAGAAAAATAATTTTTAGAAATGAAAAGCATGAATTTTACAACTGCCTGACCTTTGTATAATTGTGTTTTAAAAACCAATACATCAAGTTTACATTTAAAAGTTGAAAAAATTATTATAAAGAAAAAATGAGTATATGTATATTTATATATACATTTTGTGGGTCTTTGAAAGCACTGCCAGGTAAGAATCTTGATTGAGAAAAGTCTTTCTAATTGACGAGCATTCAGCAGATGTTAATAATGGTGCGCTAATGTCATCAGCAGCTGAAGTAACCAGTATTATGTCAGCTGCCAGGCCTGCTATTGTCACAGGTCATCAGCTCCTCCATTACCAAGTGCATGGTCAACGCTTCATAATTCAGCCATGAAAGTCCAGACTGGGCTTCAACCCACCACGCAAAGCTTCACCTGGGAGCATCTTTGGCAGCTGTTTCTGAACTATGGATGTATGACATATAAAGAGGGGTTTAAAAGCTTTAGCTTTATAGTTAATACCATATAGGTGCCATTGTAAAGCTGCTTTGATTCTTGTAGTGAGGGTTTAGTCCGTTGCTGTGGGCACCACTCATTTACACAAGCAGGCCCTCATAAAAGGCCCTGGTAAAAGGAAGATTTTATTTGTGGGAGTGATAAGTTGACTCTTTTAGATGAACAGGTCACCCTTTGGTTTGGTGCACTGCAGCAAAATTATTCAAGTTTTCAGGAATCCCAGTGGATTCTTCCTACTTAATGGCTGCATTCCATTCCACTCCCTGCCGAATTGCCCAAATGCCCCATCCTTAGAACTGGAATAAGGAAGTCATGGGTATTTGGTGGACTGTCATGATACTTTTACTTCCTGATTTGAGCAAATTCACTAAAACCCCACCTATACATCTAATTAAACCCTCTAAGCTCAGTGTGGTAAAGTCAAAGTCATTTAGAATCATGATGATAATATGAAAATCTGAGAAACTTAAGTGGTTATCCTAGTGGTCTTAAATAATCAATGCCATCACAATTGTTACTCATGTACAAGGTACATATTATGCTAAAGTATGCTTTACCTCAAAGTAATATATCAGAAATTTATTTCAGAGTGTCATTTCCTTGGAATTATGCCAGGGAAAATGACCTATTGCCTTTTACTTGAAAGAATGTTAACTGAGCACTTTCCCTGTGCCTGGAGCTCTACACGGCTCTGTGGATTCCATGCACAGAAATGCAGAATTTCTGCCTTCACAGAGCTTACAGTACAATAAGTAATTTTATAAGGGGGGGTGAATGTCATCATCGAGGACTCTTGATCTCATCTGAGATCCTTTGGGGACCCCTTTTAGGGTTGTTCCACCATAACGGAAATGCTCTGAAGAATACCCTCTTAGTTCCTGTTGTACTTTTGTTGCCTGTAGGCCTTCGTGGACGGTTTTGCCCACTGTGGCATCACAGGGTAGCCTGACCTGTACACACAGAAGGTACCACCTTCATAAGTTTCCCTGAGAGTGAACCAAAGACCCCTTTGATTGCAAAATTTTCACCATCCACTGGTGCTGTTAACTTTTCTTACTTAGCTTGAGTTTTCCACCATAGGAATCAGGTCTCCGGAGAAGAACTAAACTCTATCATAACCGTGGATAGTGGAGTGCGGGAACTGTATTTTAGTAGTCCTCACATTCACGCATGTCTTCATCCCATCCCACCCCCACTCCCAGGCTGACCTAGAGAGACCGCTCCTCTGGCTTCCTCCGTGGCAGGGCTTGCTAAAACACACATCTGAGTGAGGGGTGCCGTGCCAGCAAATCCTAAAACGTCACCGTTAACTATGTACATATTGTTAAATGAACCTAATGTAGTGCCTCTCGCCAAGAGCAGGTGGAAATAACGATTATATTCTATACAGGAGGAGGAGGAGAGGTGGAGGAGGAGAACCAACACAAAGCATTTGTCATATGGGAGGCACCTTTTTTCTAAGTGTTTTACATTAATTAGCTCTTTTACTTATCACATCAAACTTATGGGACAGGGACAAATAACACACCATTTTACAGATGCGCAGGGAGGTTAAGTGGCTTGGCCAAGATCAAGCCGCAGCTGGTAAGTGGCAGTGTCAGAATTTGAACCCAGAGGGACAGGACTGCAGAGTCCCTGTTCGTACTCAGTCTGCCAGACCCCAGAAAGAAGCCTGCATGCAGAGCTGGGCATCCAGGACATGTCAATAATGATCAGACCAGCCTTTCCGAGGTGGCTGGACAGCTCATCTTCTGTTCCTGCCTCTATAAAATGACAAATTTGAATTGGATGATGCATAAGACCCCTTGAAGCCCTAAGAGGCTTCACACCTGAGATTCTGTGTGCAATGTGTTTGTGTTTCCTGTGGATCAGAATCAGGGACCAGACCGTTCCCCAGACACAGGTCATTGCAGAAAATCAGCTAATTGTCATCTGAAAGGCTCAGAGAATCTGGTCTCATGGAATATAATTCAAGGGTGGTGCTTATATTTAGGGGCCATGTTTCCAAACAGTGCTAAACAAACTATTCACATAACTCTACGTATTACATAGAGTCTGCTTAAACATCTGCCATAAGAATGGTCTAATAGTTGATTAATTTCTAGTATCACAGTACTTCATTTGTAGACTCTTTATTCACCTATTAAAAATGTGATATAAGCCATGGTCAGACAGCCGTATTCTGAATGTACTCATTGATCCACCATTGAAGAGCCTCTTTCTGATCCCCCGAGGTATTCTGTTACATTTCTTTGTTCTTCTAAAGTTTTAATCACCATAATTACCTTCTACATTTATTCGTTAACTTTCTTACCATCTGTCTCCACACTGGAAGACATATTTGGATAAGTACCCTTGTAACTCCAGGACTGTGCACGGGCTGAAACAATATGCTTGCTCAATATATCTTTCTTGCATTAATGGAGAAAATGGTAAAAATAAGTGGCACCTATAAGTGGAGAATGTTCTAAGATAAAGAAATAAGCAAGTTCAGACTCAGTGTTTTTTATTTGTAAATAAGAATTGCCAGGACAAAGGTCTACCTGCCTTGCTTGGATAATGAAGAAAGGTGTAAATATTAACCTGTCAGCCTGTTGTGAGAACCAGGCTGACAAATGTTAGGTCATTATTTGGCTGTATGCTGTGAAGTTCAGCTAATATATACTACAAAGTATGTACAACTATATATACATGCATATGTACATACATATATACATTTATACATATCTATACCTATACAAAATAGCATATATCAAGTAGCTAAATGGAGATGTCCTGACTTTACTAGTATTTCTAAACATAATTTATCAATTCATTGCTTTGGATATCTGTTTACTATCTGCTAGAATCCAAAGATTGGATCCAAAGATATTCTTAATTTCTTAACTCTTTAGAATAATGTACTTCTTAAATTGAATATCTCTTAGAGAAGAGTTAGCTCAAATTTAGGTGTTTGTATGAATGAACCTTAAGAAAATACTGTTAATGACTTAAATATATCTAAGCCATAAAGCCTACCTTCTGGAACTTCAACCTAATGGTAACATATTAAAAGACTGGCATTGGCAAAAGATGTATAATCAGTTTTTCATAATGTGTTTCCCAAGGGGTTAACTGAAAATTGGATTTCTGGGAACTAATAATGACACCTAAAATGACATTTTTACAATAATTTATTTCAAACTACTGGACTTCAGAATAGAATATTTTATTCCACAGGAAAATATAATTTGCTTTTACTTGCAGTTTTCACAACCACTACAGCAGTTTATGGTATAAAAAACAAGCTGTTTTTATTTTAAGTATTGAGAACCATGGTTTTGTATATGTATATAATATATGCACAAAAATGTATGTGTGTATGTGTAGTTACTATGTTGTTTGGGATTACAATGGAATATGTAAAAACAAGTCCATGAGAACTGAACAACACATTCCAGATCTAGGGGCCCAATTTTTAAAAGTAAATACTCTGGTACTAGACGACATAAGCCTTCTGGTTAAAATGCTAGGACTTTTTCCCTGATATGTTTTTATTTGTAATAACAATGTCATTTATTGGAAACCTACAGTGTAATAAATACACTAGTGTTTCTACTTACAGTTTATATCAGCTGTCAATGCACACATGAAATATTAGGAGAGATATTATTACTCTATTTGGAGATTCCCCTATATCATATTCATTAGTGGACCCAAATTGTTTCATTATACTCTGAAGTCTGTACGAAAAGTGAATCATTACCACTGTGTTTCTGTTCACTAACTATGCAGGTCCCCCAGGGCTTAAAGGTGATCGGGGAGCGATTGGCTTTCCTGGAAGTCGAGGATTCTCAGGACCAGCAGGGAAGTCCGGGAGGCCAGGTATTATGATCATGTATATTTTCTTTATAGAATATATGAACACCAGTTCATACTTCTTAGATGACAAAAACAATGATCATCACAGTCTGAATAGTAGCACTTATATGCAGTCTGTGTTGTAGTCTGAGACATTTTGAAACTGATTATTGTCCTCCTAAGGAAAGTTTCTGTGTCCCAGAGGAAAATAGTTTTGAAAGAAGACAGAATTTATGAGCTTCATCAACCATAAATCACCATGAAAAATGGCATCTGTTATAGAACAAAGACAGTGGAAAGACTGGCAAAGAAAACTGAATAAGCAAAGTATAAATAATGCTTTAGCCAAAATGGGCCAGTTTTGGTTAGAGTTGGCAAAACAGGTAGACCTGAAATCCTTTTCTATGCAAGAAAGACTACCTGCTGTTATATGTTACTACTTGTAATCAACATTTTTCATGCCCTGTAAACTTTATATGCGTGATGATTCCTCATGCCAGACAGGAGCCTAAACTTGAATTGTGAACTTTGCACAGAAATTTTAGAATTGAGTAGGGCTTTTTTCCTAATTTCAAAATAAATTATGACCATGGTAATAGTCATAATTTATCATTTAGGTTCATAGAAAAATTGCACAGAAAATATAGGTTTCCCATATAGCATCTGTCCACAAACAATTACCACTATGATTGACACCTTGCATTAGTATGATGCATTTGCTGCAATTGCCAAACCAACACTGGTACATTATTACTCATTAAAGTCAACAGTTTACATTAAGGTCTGTTGGTGATGTTTATTCTATGGGTTTTGACAAATGTGTAATGCCATGTATCCACCCTTATAATATGTATCATACAGTGTAGTTCTTCTGCCCCCAAACGTCCCCTGTGGTCTGTTCCACTTGCTCATCGTCACCCCTGCCCCTCCCCTGCTGACTCCATCAACCACTGATCTTTGTGCTGTCTTTATACTTTTGTCTTTTCCAGAATCTCATATAACTGGAGTCATACTATGTATAATCTTGTCAGAGTGGCTTATTTCACTGAGCAATTTAAGTGAATGCAATTTAAGGTTCTGCATATCTTTTTATGGCCTAATAGCTCATTTCTTTTTAATGCTCAGTATATTCTGTTAGGTGCATGTACTATAGTTCATTTATCCATTTACCTGTTGTGCGGCATCTTAGTCACTTCCAAGTTTTGGCAATCATGAATAAAGCTGCTTTAGGCATTCATCTGCATATCTTTGTGTGGACATGCATGTACCTAGAAATATGATGGTTGGATTGCCTGGTAGACCTGTGGCAGCTTTATAAGATAAGCTGTCAAACTGCCTTCGAACTGGCTATACCATTTTGCCTTCCCGCCAAAAATGAATGAGAACTCCTATTACTCCGCATCCTCTGGCATTTGACTGTGTTACTGTTTTGGATTTTAGCAATTCTAATAGATATGTCAAAGTTTTTTTTTGACAGTATCAGTGTTTACGGACTGTGTCAATGGCAATTAGGCTTAGAGAAAAATCAGCTAGCCAGAAATGACCAACGTACACTCAGTCTCCATCAGATACCTGATCACCAGAACTGAATGCTTTTTGGAGATGGCTGGATGCACCAGCCATCTCCAAAACCGTCCAGCATTCAACAGGCCTTTTTCACAGCATGGGAAGAAATGTTTATCCATTTAATTAATTTTTTGGAAATTATCTGCATCACTCAGGAATTATGGAATTTCCTATTTGGGCAATTTGTGTTCAATCAATAAATATAGTTGAAAACCTTGAATTTGACAAAATTGCAAAGCTACTTATAGATTCTAAGATAAAAATAATTCTGCAAAATGGGAAAACATGTATTTTATCCCTATTCTAAGTTTAAAGTCTACAATCTATGTCAAATAGCTACTCATTTACTGTCTCTGGCAACTCATGGTAAGATTTTGTTTGGGGTTCTTTCTGGTGTAGTTTATTTGTAACTTCCTATTTACATTAAATCAGAATGATTAACTCTACAAATGAATAACACTGTGAACTATAAGTAAATCAGAGTTACTAATTTGTCTTTTTCATTTTTTTATTGTTGTTCAAGTACGGTCGTCTTCATTTGTCTTTCTAGAAAGTCTAAACAAAAAGGGGGAATGAGGCAGAACTTTAGGAATGTTAAGAAGGCCTAGCTATCTCCCAACGGCCTATTTTACACAACTTTTCAACAACTTTTCTCTCTAAGGGGTGAAGGGAGAAGTTAGAAATAAACCTCACATGAGCCACATCATCGTACACAACCCGTCCGATTAACGAGCAGCAGCTTACCCTCATGTACTGCAGGCCTGCGTGGCCTCGCACTCGGGGCTCGCAATGAGGATGCAAGACAAGCGGCCCCCCCACCCGGGGGGTTCTCTTCAAGGCAATTCCTCACAACGATCTCTCTTCTAAAGTTCAATCAGAGAGATGAGTCTGTAAAGTTTATGTGAAGGATCTTAATTTTAGGCTTGTCATTTTGGGGCATTAAACAAAGTGGCTTGACCTTGAATTTAATGGGGGCACACAGTTCTTTCATGTGTAATATTCTCTTTGCCCTCTTAGGAAATACAGGGATAGTGTACAGTTATTTGCATTTATCAGAGACAGCACGGTACGAATTTGAATCCTATCTCTGAATTCTCCCTCACGACATAGTTAGCCGCTCTGTGCCTTAGTTTTCTTATCTATAAAACAATGCTAATAAGGGAACCCATTTTTTTAGAATTTCCATAAAAATCAAATCTGATAAGATTTTGTTTGGGACTACTTCTGGAACAATTTATTTGTAACTTCCTACTTACATTAAATCATAATGATTACCTTTCTAAATGAATATCATGATGGACTATCAGTAATCAATAGATATCTTCAGTGCTTCAAACAGTTTGAGTTTTATTTTTTTGTATTTTGGATTAACAGCTTGTTTTTTAATTTATTTTGCTGATTTATTCCTTTTTTTATCACAAAGCAAAATGTCTATCCATGTTAGGTATTAGCTAGAGCTTATACAAGTTTTAGACAATTTTCTACTCTCAAACTCCTAGAGTTCCACAAATGCCCAATAGCCTGAATACTTGGGAGGGCATGTCTTCCTTCATTCATTCACCCAGTCAACACAGTTTCATGAGAGTTCACTGTGTGCTAGAGATAAATATAGCTCAGCCGCTGCCCTCAAGATCAGATGACAGAAAAATGCAGAAGCACTTAGCTCTAATGTCATGTGGTACGTAATAAGCATTTAGGAAGCAGGACCAGATGCTATGAGAGTAGAGAGCAGAGAGTGATTCATTCTGTCTAGCAAGATGTGTTATAGTGTCAGTACTAGCCTAAGAGATGCAGAGAATTTCTTTAGGTCTATGGTTCTCTAACTACTTGCCAGCACCAAAATCACCTACAGCTTACTGGGCTTGACACCCAGTGTTTTGGATTCAATAGGTCAGGGATTGCATGCTCAGAAATTCTTTGACAGCCCAGGCTTGGGACGCACCCCTCTAAGGCAGTGGAAAGCAAGGTAGATAAATTGTAATGGGGATAGAAAAACACAGTTCAGATTGAGATGGCAGACGCAAGGATTTTTGGGGTAGAGAGGAAGAGGGAAAGAAAAGAATGAGTAAACCCAAACCAAGTTAACTGCATCTTCGTTTTGTCTGCTTTTAGGAAAATGGGACATTTAATGCCCTTGTACTTAATTTAAAATAACGTTTGTAAAGGATCTACCCAGAACAGTGACAGGTTTGTAATGGCGTTTCCAACATGATATAGTAATAACATTTAACATCATAATAATGATTATCAACATTATTATTATTTTGAGTTTCTGTAGGTTGTTATCAACTGATATTCTAGATTACTTTGTGCTGTTCTGTTTCCATTTAAAGCAAGCATTGTGAATTGCCCTATTTAAAAATGTTTCCTTTTTTTTGCTTATTTCCCCCCAAGGAAATCCTGGACAGAAAGGCCAGAAGGGGGAAAAGGGGAGTAGAAGCATGTCATGTAAGTATATAGTTTCTTGTTTTCTGTGTGTGTGCACCTTGGCAATAAACGAGCTCAGACAGTGGTGTCCGGGCCTGAGGCAGATGTTGAGAAAGAACTTGAGCACTGATCCATATAGATTCTGTGGAAGTCAGCCCTAGTTTTCTGCAAGTATGTCAATTGGAGTAAAACAAATAGATCAAAATTATACAACTCTGATTCTCATTACTCATTTGTATCTTGTTTTTGTGATGAGCACAATTTTCTAAAAACTCCACTTAAAAAAATTGTTCAATTTTCAAGCCAATTTCCATCTGAAGGAAAATTGAGCTTATGAATAGAAACAATTACCGCCTCCTTGCCTATTAACGGAGCTCACCAAAATGTTCCGGACAGGAATCCGGACAATCTAAGAATGCTGCCAGGCTAATGCTGAGATGGCTGGGTTTTGTGCTTTGTTTTAGTTTCCTAAAAACTTGAAGAGTGCTACTGTATATCCAAGTCTCTTAAAACTGCAACAGAACAGATTTCACAAAAGGGCTCTCTGCTCGGGGGAGAGTTAACCTCACATTGCAATGTGCAGAATCCTTAAATCAGGCCTTAAGAACTGAATACTAAATGTGATGTCTTCAGAATGCCATGCCACAAGGCAATCATTGCGTCTTGGTTGAATCTACACAGATAAAATGAAAGGATCATGAGAAGGAATAAAGATTCCCTACTTGCTTTCTCAGATTAAAGTATTCCCCTCTTGTATTCTCAATAGGAGCTACGTGTGATTACCCGTGAAGGGTCTGTTTTAGATAGATTATGGCAAATCCTTTAATATACCAAAAATCTAGCAGTTTTCCAGTATAGTTATTATTTTTAAAATATAGTACTAATTTCTCTGCATTAACAAAAGCAATTATTTTATCTTAATACTGTATATAAGTACCACCTTTAGACAATGTAGGGGTCACCATCGAGAACGCCAGGCATCCAAGTATGGTCTAACCACATGACATTTCCCATATTCATTGCATTGTTGATGTTTGCCCTTGAACTAAATAACACTGAGTATTGTGTGTCTCCTCAAGGTGCTTTAGTGTTTCTCAGTGATTATTCGTGTTGTTCTTATATTAAGATAATAGAAACATTAGTATATCTTTCTCCTTTGATTACCTTTGTCTACTGTGTACTTTTCCCCACTTCTTCCCCTTCTCCTCATTACTCCATTTATTTTCAGTGCGTTCCTTGTATAACTCTCCCCTAGCTTCATGTTTTTCTCCATCTTTATCACTCTATCTTTGGTTCTTCTTTATTGCCTCTTCTTTCTTTCCTGAGACTTTTTCTGAGCTACTGAACTTTGAGTCTGTCTCATCTTGGCAAATACAGGACTTCTTTATTTTGTAGTCTGTAAACTGAACACACAGTCTTCTGTCGCCTGAGGTTATCAAAGGCTTTGAACATTTTTTTCAGATGTGTTCAGAAATGTTTTCAATTACAGATATTTTCATGGCTATTTGAGGTCTATGTGCATTCTTTCTCTGAGAAAGCACTGAGAGGGATATTTCTGTGTACGCGTACACATAGCCTCCGGACTCCATGGAGTATGCATAACTCTGAGTTTCAAAAAGAGAGAAAGAATTGTATACACAAACATCTGTTCAGTATGTTTTGCCTTACTTATTTAACATGCCAGTCACCTGCCCGTGTCAATACATGACTCTATCTTTTTCCTCAGGGGCTATCCATTATTTCATTACACAGTGATACTGTGATTACCATAATATATCATTCAACCCACTAGTCATGAGCATTAGAAAATTTTTGCTTGCTTTGATTTGGCTTTAATAAACAATGCTACATTGCACATTCTTATACATGATCTTGTGGGACTATTTTTGATAGAGAATTTTCTAGAAGTAGAATCAATAATTCAAAAATAACATGCATTTGACAATTTGAAGGATACTTGCAAATGGCTCCTAAAAAATTGTATCAGTTGATTCCCTATGAAAGTGCCTGACTCCCCACATCTTTAATTCTGGTATACACACATTTGTATGGAATCATTTTAATAGACATTCTTTTATATACGTTTTCAGGCTTAATTTAAATGTAATGCGAGTAACAGTTGATTTCCTCTTTTATGTGTGTCAGGACCGGTGCCACTCCCTGATCCTGCCGGGGCAGGGCCCTTCTAAGATGAGGTGGGTTGGGTGGGACACCCTCTGCTACCATCTCATTAAAAGGCCCTTCACCTCTGGACAAGTCATCAGTACAGCTGACTCCATGACCCCTTTGTGGCTCCTCCAAACGACCTTGGTTCCTGTGTGGTACCCGGCTTCTGCAGTGGCTTCCTCTCCTAGGCCTGGGTGCTGTTTTGGCCTCTGTTCTCATGCTCATACCTCTCCCCACTCCAGTCTCCCACCATTGCTACCATCCCCCAATATCCCTGACTGGGACTGGTCCCATTGCACTGACTGGCATGTTGTTTTAGCCAGCCCTTGGAGCCAAGCCAGAGTCCTCTGTCACCCCCTCATCTGGTGCTTGCTGCACCTATTTAACCCATTGGGTTCTACGAAAAATCTGGTGGGTACTGACTAGATGTGGGTTCTTTTCATTTAAAAATACTCTTCTCACCCAGTGATCAGGATAACATAAAATAAAAGCCGTTCATTCATTCATTCATTCAACATGTATTCATCTTGTACCCCTGGAGTTTGACTTTACAACCAATAATATAGCCATTGTGTCTTGCTTTAGAGAGCCAATTGTATTATACAAAACAGCAAAGCTATATTGGAAAAAGAATAGGGCTCTATAGATGTTTAGAGGGGGTCAAGATTTTTAAATTCCATTGAATATTAAAAGTTTAAATTGATTTGATTTGATCAATTTACCTTTGTGTTTTCTTAGTCCCCAAATTACAGCATTTTTTTTCAAGTTTTATAGTGAGGTAAATTGGAACTTGAATAGTTCATTCAATACATTGAAATCAAAAACAAAACTTTTTAAAAATTGCCTGACCTATTTCAAGCAAGAATTTTTGATGATGAAAAAATAATACCAATAATTTTTTATTCTGAAAAACTTTTTGTATTTTGTTCTACAAATAACCCAGAACAGATCCTGAAGAAAAATAAATATTTCAGTAGAACTGGAGATATTTTATGAGTGAAGAAAGCAGCAGACTAAAAAACAAAAAAAAGAATAGGAAATGTGTTTTTTGAATATTCTCTAGTAACAGATCATATTTTCACAGCTCCTCCTTCCTTCAAGGTTTAAACACAGAGCCCGGGTCTTGTAGAATTCTAAGTAGTGCACCTGTTTCTCTCTCCACTTCCATTCCCCTCCCTGTGCGATGGACATTTAACACCTACCTCACAGGGTTGTTGTGAGGATCACATAAGATGCTGTGTGTAAAGATGCTCTGTGAAATCATAAACTGCTTTAAATATGTAAGTTATGGCTCACAGTTTTCTCTCTGAACTGGAACCGCTCTTCCTCATTGCTGGATCACAGACATTTCAAACCTGTAACTGGAAGGAGTGAAAGCAGAGTGTAAATTTAAGAAGCCAAATAAATGTCATAGACAAAAACAGATATTCTTGAATCTAGACAATAAGGTTTTGCATTGATAGAACAATGCAAGTGTGTCCAGATCACAAATCAAGGAGCTTGAGCCAAGCCGAAGAGCATAAATTATAAATAAGAACACCAACTAACGAGAGTGCATACCAGAGGCCAGAAGCTGTCTACAGAGGTCAGAAAAAAAATGTCAGGCTAATAAAACAAGAGTCCAGGTGCTGAAAAACAAAGCATGACCCCAAGACACTGCTGATAAGAAAGCTGCAGCAGCACTGAGATAAATTCAGATTGTCAGTGGGACTCTGAGTCCATGCGGGACTGTGTGACACCCAGGTTTCCAGGAAGAAAAAGGAAGGTGTGGGGAGGAATCAGCCAGTTGTCAGTATTCCCAAATATTAGCAAACTGGCAATGCTGACTATCCAGTTAATGGAAATGTCTGGAGACTCACTGGATCTCTTTGTTCATGGTTTCATTGGGCGTGACTTCCTACCCAACTTCCTGTCCAGCTCGCAGGCAAAGCCTGACCTCCTTTCACTCACTGGCCAGCAGGCCTTGGTCCACATTGGCCACAGAATGGCTCACATCCCAGAGATCCTGGGAGACAATTCCAGGGGGATCTATTCACAAGTTATCTGACCACCCCAGGCTACAAACGGATTCTTAAGTATGTGAAATGCTAACCTTTACTTTCCAAATTAGGGAAAAAGGGCTTCTCTTTTTAGACAAAAATAGATGCTGAACACCAAGCTTAAATGCACAAATTATACCAACATTAATCATGTATAATGAAAAGAAAGCAAATCGGAGCCCAGCTCTAATGCCAGTCGCATGGTTTGTCTTCTGTGTTCTCAGCCTAACTTGGAAGGGTAAGTGTTTCACTAGAGCAAAAGAATTCCTGCCACACAATTACACACTGTAAGAAGCTATGTTGCAAACATATGTGTTACTAATGTGTGGATTGTTGGTATGTTTTGCTGTACTTTTCTCAAGCCCATGGTACTGTAACTAGGATGTGCCTTTACAGTATCTTATCTCGAAACTCATATAGTGATATGAACAATCAATTTGTCATTCCCTTGATGTCTAATGAGGATGCAGCTAAATAATCAATGAATTTTGATCTTTCTCAAATCATTCAATTGACCAACGCAAAGCCTTCTCCTGCCATCACTACATAATTATAATAAAGAACATTTAGGGAACATCTGCTGTGTGCCAGGGGCTTTCGATGCATTATCTCATTTAATCCTCAGAAGAGTCTCTGAGGTAAGTTCTATTAAAGTTCTCATTTTATAGATTAGGAACTGCGGCTTTGCTGCTAAGAAGTGGAAGAGCAGAAACTCCAAGCCAGGTGTTTCCTTTCCCGAAGTTTCTCTTTGTAACTATGACTCCATTCAACAGTCCCACATTGGTCCTGCATATTTTTATGTAAAACACACAAATA